AATGAATGTACAAATGTGCTTTACATAATTGATGTATGTATGGATTGTGATAGAGTTGTATGAGCCCCTAATAAAATGATTAAAATTTTAAAAAGAACTGAAAAAAATGAACCAAGACATAAGGCCTTACATAACAGAGCTTAGAGAAGGAAGGCGTAATAATAATTTTCACATGAAGCAAAGAGGTGTAGTAAGTAAAGAGTTGAAAAATAACAGCAAGGAGAAAAGAGAGGAGTGCAAAAGAGAATATGAAAAGGGAATAAAAATGAAGTGCATGTGTGTGGTGGAGGGCGGGGAGAATGGGGGAAAAAGAAGGTTAGAAAAGCAAGTGTATTACTCCGATCAGTGTCAGTCTCTATAGGACCTGAGTTTTGACCACTATTTCTCAACTCCAAGACCTTGGATAATCATGCATCTTTTCCCCTCATTTTTACTGATCTAAATAATATATTTCCTCCATGAAGAATTTTTTACCATGAGTTTTCATTCCTCTGAGTACCTAAAAAATATGTGTGCAAAAATCCACATCTATAATCTATTACACCGAAGAGTTATTACCCTAGCTTATATACTTGTTATTTGCATGCAAAAGGCAGGTCTTCAATTTGTATTCCCAAGAAATACTAGAGAAGTACACAATAGACATTTAGATCATCCTTACAATAGACAAAAAATCATCCGTATTCACTGAATGACATAAACATATACTCATTTAAAATGCACCCTTGTGTACCTATGATAAGATGAAACCATGAGAATACTGATACAAAGTTCTGAAATTAATGGGTATAATGAACATTTTTCTGAGTCTTATTTTCCAGAAACTAAACAGAGCTAGATGAACTATACATGCCTTAAATAAACAAACAAAGAAAAAACAATTGCATGGAACGGTCTCCTGATTCTCAGCAACCATTTAAGTCAGAGTAGCACAGCCCCATGGGATTTTTAAGGCTGCAAATCTTTCTGTAAGTCGACTGCTACATTTTTTCTCCTGCAGAGCCATTGGTGGTTCCAACCACAGTCAAACTACCAGGGCTTCTTCTAAAGTCCTTATCCAAAATTCCATGATTCTATGAATACTATCAAGCTTTCTAGCCATAGTAATAAAATGGCATATTAAGAAAATACTAAATTTTAAAAATACAAACTTCCTATGAAAGAGTTTTGTATTATTATGCTGTTTGTTATTTGCATGTGATTCTGTTCTCTTGCTAACTTTAACTCACTACCATCAAATCGATTCTGACTCATGGTGACCCTATCGGGCAGGATGGAACTGCCCCTGTGGGTTTCTGAGACCGTAACTCTTTAGGGGAGTATAAAGCCTCATCTTTCTCCCATTGAGTGGTTAGTGGTTTTGAATTGCTGACCTTCAGGTTAGCAGCCTAACACATAACCACTATGCCACCAGGGCTCCGCTGGTGTTCTCTTATCTTGTCTGTATACTTCCTCCCAGCTTCATTTATTTTGTGCTTTTTTTTAATCAAAAAAATTTTGGACCATCGATAGACTATTAAAGGATGCAGGACAGAACTTGAAATATTTGCTTGGATTACTGAAATCAAAGCACAGTTAAAAAAGGAAAGCATAGTTTTGTCTTTAATCGCACCTGAGGGAGGCTTTGCAACAAAGGGCTTCATGAATGCTGGAGCTGTGGAAGCAGTAATTGGCACACGTGCTGAAAATAATGAGAAATGATAAACATATCCTGGTTGTCACATAATGAGAAGGATAAACATTTATTCAGATATTAGAGTTGCATTAATTGTGAATTACAAGAGAGAAAACTTTAGAATTATTTTAAAACACTATCTCTGGACAGAAAAGGCATCATTATGTGAGAATTGAAGTTTGACCTCAAACTTATCACCAAGACTTTTCCATGGAGGCATGCGAAGGAAGCGATCAGCAGCAAGCAAGGGCTAGTTATATTCACTTGAAGAATCGATGAAAGCATAAATGCTGTTTAAGGATGAGTCTTAAGATTAATGGAGATAAACAGATGGGAGCTGCATGTAAATTGGTTTCTTTTTTGAGAAGAATAGTAAGTCACTTATTTGGTCTAGATTTATGATGTGTCTTCCTGACTAAAATGTATGCAGCTGTTAAAGGCTGTGAAATTAAGCATGCTTTCACAATGCCAACTATTTCATAGCTCTTTCATCTTGAACCCCAAATCAATTAGTTTGGGGGACTGGAGATACAGGTTTTACAAGATGCTCTCTCTTGTAAGGCACACTAATCCTGTCCCTCTCTGGAGTTATGGACAGAAAAACAAATATATGAAAATTATAGAGAATAAAGTTTAAAAATAATTAAGCTTTCATTTATTAAGAAAACAAAAACAAATTTTAACTCTCCCTAACAATTTCTCTATGTATAAATCTGTGACACTGATTACAGTCTTCAAATTGTGCACCCATTATCATTATCCTTTTGTAAACTAGTCTACCACTGTTAACATATATGCACTGTCACCTATGCAACAATTCCACCTTTCCTATCTATCTCACCCCTGGAAGCCACTAACAACTTTGGTTTCTAAATATCTGTCTCTCTTATTTTGCAACTAATTCCACTTAGCCTAATGTTTTCATTGTATTAAGAAATAAGAAAATAAGGCGATTTAGCGGGAAATTAATGTTCATTTTTTTCCATATTAGGTATCAACCCTTTACACCTAAAGTACCAAAGCTACTAAGAATATGATATAGTATTTGCTCCAGAGATATGATTATCATTCTAGCACATAAATTTTTCAAAATACAGGTTATAATTTTCAATATGTACATCTCAGGCAACTTTGGGTCAGAGTTCTCATATGCAAGGGTGGCCCAATATCACTGGAAAGAACAGTTCATATTTATCTTTATCTTTGGGATATAGCACAATAAGTACTTAGTAATTAGTGATTGATGATGTTTGTGGTGTGTGTGTGTGTGTGTGTGTGTGTGTGCACGCGCGCACATGCCTTGCAGCTATCATTAGAAGATTCTATTGTCACAGCTATGTTTTGCTGAAATCATTGGTTTGGACACATTTATGATACAATGTTTTATAAAACAGTAAAGTAAAAACAAAATTAGAGAGATATCAAGGGCAAGAAGTAAGAAGGAATTGACTGAGTTCAGGCTACTTACTGTTGTTCCTTTATAGCCAGATAGCAAATCACTTACTTTTATTTGGATTTAATAAATTCAAAGGAAGCGATCATAACATCTCTTAAAATTCAGTTACAAATTATAAACTACAAATCAATAACAAGGACAGAGGAATTAGCTGATGGTAAAGAAGTGAATGGAACCTCACCCATTTCTGGCTGGAATCCTGGTGGAGATATCTGCTTGCATACTCCTCTTGATTGCTTCAGGTTTTTAGCATGGAATCCCCCCATATAGTGATAATGGGCAATAATTGGAGAGTAAAAGTTTATGTTATAAATACCACAAAATCTGTATCTGTCCACTACTCCACTCTTATGCACCTAAAATAATCACAATCTTGTTAGAAAAAATAAAACACCTCAATTTTTATGGTTATAACATCAACACAGACCACACACTGGAAAATTCATAGGCTGTATCCTCCTTTGCTTATCAGGCACTTTAAATTGATCCTTATACATTTGAAAATGAAACCTAACATGTTGAGCATGGTATTCACTCTGAAAAAGATATAGCCTAACTCTATTTATTCAATAACACAAAGCAAAGCATGACCAATTCACTGCCATAGAGTTGAGTCTGACTCAGAGATCCTAGTGTTTTTGAAACTGTTCATCTTTATGGCAGCATACAGCCTTATCTTTCTCCTGTGGGGCCATTGGGTTTGAACGGCCATTCTTGCAATTAACAGCCCAATGTCTAACCCACAGCGCTACCAGGAATCCCTTAGTCAATAGCATAGTCAATTTGAATTCATTATTTTCTGACTCTGAAGACAGCACTTAAGAACTTTAATATACTTGATCTGAAGCAAATTTATAAAAATGCTCCACATTGCTTTCATATCTATAAATTTGTTAAAATTAAAATAATGCTTCAATTTACAAGCCAATAACTTTGGGGTCCTGGTTTGTGGCAGACTCCTCATTGCTGCCTAACACCAATTTTCTTTTTCATCAATTATAAATCTTAGGCAACATATCTAGCTAAATTTAAAAAGTCCAAACTAGCTAAAAAGACTACATTTCCAACTTCCCTTTCAGCAAGATCTATCCGTATGACTAAGTTCTATAAAGAAATCATCTGAAGTGTTGGCTCAAACTTCTGGAACGATTCCTTAAATGCTGGTGAATGTCTTTCTTTACCCTTCTTCCCTCTTGTTGCTGGAACTAAGATGCAATGGCTGACATTCCAATAGTTATCTTGGATCACAGGGGGACCTTGAGGATGGAAACCAGTGTATTAGAGCAGAAAGACAGAAAATGCCTGAGCCTTCGATGAGATCATGAATTTATCATATCAGCCTGGGAACACCTACCTCCAAATTTCTTTTAAATGAGGAAGAACTTCTGAGTTGAAGCTATTTTGGAAAGTCTTTCTAAACCAGTATATAACCAAATACATAAGAATAACCAGAACGTTGGTATATAGAGAAGTGGAGCTAACATTTCCTGAGAACATACTATAAGCTAATCACTTGATCTCTACAGAATTTTAAATTATGAAATATGGAAAACCACAATCCTATAGAAAAGAACAGCAAATAATAAAACCCAAACCTATCAACACCACTCAGTTTCAGACAATTTTGCTGTATTTCTTTTAGATATTTTTAAAAAGAGGTAAACATTTTTACAGAGATAGCTAAAGTCGGATCTCTTCATGCCCACAATTTCTCTGCCCACTCTCCTTCCCTATAGGTAACCACCATCTTGGATTTGGTGGCTATAGTTTCTGTTCACGTTTTTATTTTTACTACTACTAAGTAAGCATGCAGCCATAAATAGCATTATCTTTTCATTTTTATACAGCTAGAACCATTCTATACATATCTTTTTAACTTACTTTAAAAATCAGCATTATATTAAGGTAATTCAAAAAGTTTTGCAACCGAATTATAGAAACATTAAATAAAAATATAAGAATGTGAAGCTATTGTTTCTCCACATACCCTCTACCGAAGTCTGCCTCTTTCTAAGGTAGTGTTTTCATCTCCCGAACCTTTCCCTGAAGGATTTTTCACGCTTTGACTTACACTGCATCAAAATGGCATTATTGAGTGACTCAAATGGTGTTTTTTTGTAATGTTTTTTGAGTTTGGGGAACACAAGAAGTCTGAAGGAGCGAAATCATCACTGTAAGGCGGATGGAGCAAAGTTTCCTAATGAAATACTTGTATGACAGCTCTTGCTATCTTCCACAAATGAACAGGTACATTGTCGTGATGTGAAAACTTTCCTGAGCTTTTCCTCACCAGTACAGTTCGCGAGTTTCTTAAAACTTCTTCTTTGTAAGCCCTGGTGATTTTCCTGTGTCCTATGAGAAAAATCTATCAAGATTACTCCTTTAGATGTTAAAGGCTTGTTTTAAAGCAAGCAGCCATCCAAGTGAGATGTCAGTTAAGTCCACACAGAATGAGTACACCAGCCCATGTAATCCAAAGACTGTTAATAATAAAGTACATAGTTCTATTTAGCACAAGTAGAACTTGTGCAGCCTGACATTGGGATTAGTGACTCTGATGGCCAGATTTGTGATTCCTGGAGGAAATGTGAGTAATCTCTTTACAGTAAGGCTTGTTGTACATCAGCAGAGCTTCCAGTTCCTTGACGTTGTGGACCAGGAACTTGCAGAAGTCACTGAGCAGCATGTGCTTGGTTTACTTGTTGCTCCCATAACCAATGTCAGGAATCAAGATTTGGCCTTTAAATATTCTCTAAACACTGTTGTCAATGCCGCTGAACTTGTGCCAATTGCATTTAATCTGATTGGTTTCAGAGCCGAAGAAGAAACAGAACTTAAATTCTGAACACCTAGTTTGCAGAAGGCTACGAATGATAGTGAAAGCCCAAAATACATTTGTAAAGCCCTCACGTGGATTAAGCCTCAGTTCAATTCCCTTTGACCACAGACCAGAGCTGTGAATAGTCTTGTCCTCATATAAAGTACATTGGAAGGTGGATTATCCACCTCCTGACCAGCCCAGAAATGGACAATCTTCCTCAGGGGCTGACTTGGGCTGTATCCTTGGTGAGGCTTGCTTGGTCAGAGCCATGCCCTGACTGCCTCAGGAAAGCCTTGGGCCAACCTTATAAGCACCTCTATTTCCTCTGTCCTAATCCTGGCCTCATCCCACTCCAGGAGTCCCACAAGTAACTCTATTATATAGATCTGCTTCCAACCATGTTTATGTGGCAGTCTTTTTTGACATCCCTTGTCCTTTTAAATGCAATGATTCTCAGCAAACCCTTGGGACCTTGTGCTAATGGGCCCCCTCATCAAGATGATTGACTCTGTAGCTGTCTTGTCCTTGTTCCATTTGAGACCTAAGAAATGTTTTCTTTATATATATAAAAATATTATCCCTTTGAAATATCCCAAACCAGGCATTATTACCTTCAGAGATGACCAGTTTGCCTGTAATTTATTTGGCCCAGTGGAAGCCACTGCATTGATGTTTTTTATGTCACTTACCATAATGAGACTAAAATATAGTTGCCTATAAGGTTAGCAATGGTCAAAACTAGATGAAATCCATAAAAAGCAAAGCGACAATTAGGTTTCATTTAAGTAAATGCATGTAATACATTCAGTGACCCAGATACCAGATATGAAAGAATCAGATGATTCAGAAATGTGACACAACATCAAATTAAGAGAAGGAACATTGTCTAAAAAGTCAGAATAAATAATTTTCAGACTTCACGCCAATGATTACTTGGCATGCCAATGATTACTTATGAGGAATTACTACCCCTCTGAGTCTCAGTTTTCCAATCCATAAGGGAGTAAGAACATTAAACATTCCTTCTTCTAGCTCTAGCATCCTATGATTTATCCCCCAAAGCATGACTTGTCAAGTGAAGAATTTGTTTGTGTTCTATTATAGCCTTTGCTTATTGTAAAGGAAGACTCTGAGATTTTCCAATATATCTTGGTTCAGATTATAATATTCTGGTTAAGCATTATAATGCTTACTCTTATATTTACTGTTAGGAACAGGGATACAATGGCTGATGGATCTAACAAGAGGCAGAATGTTGTGGGAAAAAAGAGCTTTAGAGTACAAAACATTGCAGTATTAAATTCTAATTCTCCAAATCAAAGATAGGAATTTTTTCCTTTCTCTGGGCCATTCTCTTCAGGTAGAAAAGTGGGGGAAATACCACTTGCTTCATTATATACTCACAACTATCAAATAAAAGGATTTATGTGGACTTTAAAAAACTGTTTTAAGACCTCATTCTCATTATTTTTAACCTACCTCATAATGAGAGATCTCTTGTGATTCAGACTGTAGCACCACTCCACCACTTCTACAAAAGCTATCTGTAAAATATCCAGCCATTTCTTGCTCAATCCAGGGGACAGCTATAAATAATGTGAAGTAGGACAGAATATCACATTAGTGAATATTTAAAGGCAGTATTTTCATTCTTTGATTAGATTTCACACACTACCTGAAAGATGTGTGCTTGTGAGCCCATAATAAAATAAATTGCCATATTACCTGAGTAATATAATACACACACATCAACGTGAGAAAATTTAAAGGCTTACTCTGTACAATTCTCCCTCATTTTAATCTTCACAAAAAGCATGTATTACTAACTAATTAAAAAAGTTAAAAGATGTTAATTTAAAAGTTGTGTTGACTAGCCCCGACTGCAAGTTTTCAATATCGCTATAAAGGAGCCCGAGTGGCATAGTGGTTACACGTTGGGCTGCGATCTGCAAAATCTGCAGTTTAAAACCACCAGCTGCTCTTCAAGAGAAAGAATGAGCTTCCCACTCTCATAAAGAGTTAAAGTCATAGAAATCCACAGGGACAGTTGTGCTCTCTCTGACAGAGTCGCTATGAGTTAGTATTGAGTTGTTGAGGCCAGTGAGTTTGTTTTGTTATAAAGACTAAAAGGCTTACTTTTAAAACCACATGTTCCAGATAAGAATAACAACGAATTAGCTGCTGCTGGGCTTGTAAATATGTACGACCACTGTGGAAAGTGATATTGTGATTCCTAAAACAGCTGACAATAGAAATACCATACAACCCAGCAATGGTATTGCTTATACTTGAAAGAAATAAATGACAGGCCATGCTGCAAGGCCAGCCTCGATCCCAGGTACATAGACACACCATTCCCCACCCCGCAGAAGAATGTACTACAGAGGACAGTACTGAGGGAGAGGGGTGCTCTGATCAGAGCACACAGGAGCAAATGAAGAGGGAAAGAGAGAGAGTGGATCCCATCCTGGCCCACCAAACCCCGAGGACAATATTCCTGCTCAGAGCAAGCCAATGCACAGAGAGGACCATA